GCGCGGCAGCGCGGGCAGCCGGGGCCCGCCGCGTCGGGGGCGCGTTGGGCGCAGCCTCGGCACAGCGAGTGACCGCAAGGCAGGGCCGCCGCTTCCCCCGGAGTCTCCAGGCACCCGGCACAGCCGGACTCCTCCGGTCGCGAAGGCGGCGGCGACGGCAGTATCAACAAAGCGGGGCCAGAGGCCGGGCCCGGGACCCCAGTCTTTGCTGCCGCCATCTCTTCACAGCGACCCCGCCGGCCCCGCCGACCAAGAGCCGTAGCTACCGCTGCGGAAGAGGCCCGAGTACTCGGACCTGCCGCCGCCATCTTGTTTCCCGTTTGAAGGGAGAGTCCGTTGCGAGGGAGAAGAGTAGAGGGCGGGGCAGCGCGCGGCTGGCAGTTGATCTGCATATTTATAAGGGGCGTGGCTACAATGGGCCTGGAGAACATCTTCCCCGGGACTGATTGGCAGGAGGGTCACCTCATTAATATTTATTACTTATTCTTACATATGTGATAGCCTCGCCCTCTGAAGCTTTTTCTGTTTTCTCTTGCTGAACCAGAAGAGACTGAGAAATGAAGAGGTTTATTTGGAATTTTGATGGGTATTACATTTTATGAAGTAAGTACACTTGCTTATCCTGCAATATCCTGATCACTCAGGCTAAAGTTCTACAGCCTGAGAAGTACCCAAAAACCTGATTCAACGTTTTGTTTGCTGTGAGGACCTGTTCTCTCCCCTAAGAATTACAGAAGCTATGACTGAAGCCTGGACCACTGTGACCAGTGTCTTCAGTGCAGTAACTAACTGCCAAATGCAACATCAAGCTCTTGTCAATCCATCTCATCTTTTCTCTCCACATTCTTTCCCCTCGTTTGGCTAGCAAATCATACTTTCCTGTTTTATTTTGTTTCTCCAACCCCCTTAGTTCCATTTCAAGACTCCTTTGGAGAGCACCTATGTCTGGTGCTTAAATGTAGATAAAGCACTAAACTCAGGCCATTGTCCCCTTCTCCAAATCCTCACCAGACACCTCACACTTTCTTCCTTCTAAAACTCCCAAATTGATACCTGCAGCCCAGACCTCCTGAGTTGAGTCCTGCCTATTCAGTTGCCCAAAGGAAACATCCCACGGAGAACTGCATCCTTCAGGTGCAAAAGTAATGTCACACTTTTTTTGAAAAAGCACTTCTTGTTTTCCTTTTTTTTTTTTTTTTTTTTTAACCAGGGATTGAACTCAGACCCTTGCGCTTGCCAGGGAAATGCTTATTCTACTGAGCCATCTCCTCAGCCCCTCCTTATCCTTTTAAAGGTACTGCCTTCCCTGGTCTCAAATGCAAAATTGGCCACCTTTAACCTCATCCTTCATGTCCTCTTAGGTACTTAGTCCTGTCAGTTATTGTACCAAAAGGATTATTGTCCCATCTGTTCCCTCTTCACCCCACTTCCACTACCCAATTCAGATCTCCTCATCCCTCCCCTGGAATTAATATTGTGATTATTTTTATAAAGTGTCTTCCTTTCCAGAGCCTCTCTTCCTCTAATCCCATGATGGTGAACCTTCTAGAGCTTTCAGTGATACAAACAGCCGGATGTGGCGTGCATGCTACCCGTTCGCCACAGCCACCGCTGTTCTAATCTATCCTCTACATTGCTTAGTGTTGCATTTATGCTTGGGCCAAGGTGAGCCGCTCAGACTTCAATGCCACTGCCCTTTCTGGAGGCAGAGGATATGCGAAAAAGAACTGCTCCCCTCTGATGGAGAAACCATCCTGCTACAGAAGGTCTCCCGCTTTTTTTTCTCTCTAAGGTGGATTTGGGGCAGGAAGGCATTGCATAAATGGCAGTTCCTGTTGGTAATCTTCATAGGAAAGTAGAAGTTTTATAAAGTGAGTAGAATTAACAATGTATACAAGAGACCCTGAGTTTCCATGAGATTGTCTGGAGCCTGTGGTGAACCAAACCAAGGCAGAGTGATTGGTCACGGTCACAGTGCAGGACCTGGGAATGTAGCTCAGTGACAGAGCACTTGCTTAGCACACTTGAAGGTTGGTCTCCATCCTCAACCTCCTTCCAAAAAGAGAAGAAAAAAGAGATGGACTCCCAAGGTAAGAACTAAATGGCTAAAAGACAGTCACAAATTGAGACAGAAGGCATCAATGAGTACTTGAAACAAATATGTGTGTGTGCAGAAATCCAGACAGTGGAAATCCTTCCAAATATAGAAGTGCACCATTGGTTGGACTGTCCTTTCACCAAGAGACTTCCTTAGTCCTCTCCCTAGTTGAGATTCTTGAGGACATTTTGCCCAGTTCTCATCAGGGAGGTATGTGGTTCAGATATCAAGTCAACCACCATTAGAGGGCCAGCCTGATAGCTCAGCAGACTAAAGCGCTTGCTTAGGCAGAGTGCAGTGGCCAGGGTTTGATCCCTGGTGTGCTGTGCTGGCCCTGCCCATGCCCCTGGTGGTGCACACCTATAATCCTAACACTTGGGAGGCTAAAAAACAGGAGAATCACTATGAGTCCAATCTACGTAGTGAGACCCTGTAGATCTTGTAGACCCTGTCCTAAATACAGAAAAAAAAAAGAAAAAGAAAAAGAAAACACCATTAGAAATAGGGCCTTTCTTGAGCATTGTTCACTTGTGCTGGCTTCTTTGGTCTCTTTATCCAAAGGCCCCATTTAGTGCTGGAGGTGAGCAACAACACTGTTCCAAGCTTCCCTGAATACAAATAAAGACAACGAGTTTCCTTTTTCAGGAAGTCTGAGTAGTACTGGACCAGATGTCAGGATATCTGAGCTTGGTTTTGTCCCCTTTGTTTAACTCCCTGTGCGATTTCAACAGATACATTCTTTCTAGGCCTCAGTCTCCTTTAATACAAAGATTTAATTCAGTAGTTTTCAACCTAGGATGTTCCACACACATATACTCCAAGATTTCACATCAGATCTGCTAAACCCCAAAACTGAAACAGGTGATAGCAGAATATGTATGCTTTTAATGCTGTTAAGAATTCTGGGGCCAGGGAGATGGATCAGTAGAAAAGTGCTTGCCTGGCAAGAGAAAGGGCCTGAATTCAATCCCTGGTTACACCAAAAATTAAAAAAAAAAAAAAAAAAAAAAAAGGAATTCTAATGGAGTTGTTTCCCTAATTTCTCAGTGAATTTGTTGCTTATGTACAGCAATACTATAGATTTTTTATTATTGACTTTATAGCCAGCTATGCTACTGAATTTACATATTAAATCTACAAGTTTTTTGGTGGAGTTTGTGGGGTTTTCTATATAGAGTATCATGTCATCTGAAAATGATAATTTAACTTCTTCTTTTCCTATTCTTATTCCTTTTATTTCTTATCTAATTGTTCTGGCTAATATTTCCAGAACTATATTGAATAGGAATGGTGATACTGTACATCCTTGTCTTAGTCCTGATTTTAGAGTGAAAGCTTTCAAATTTTGTCCATTTAGTATGACGTTGGCTGTTGGTTTGTCATAGATGACTTGTGTCAGATTGAGATAATGAAAATCTATTCCAATTTCATGCAGGGTTTTTATCAACACCTTTCACAACAATATCAAAAAATGAAATACTTAGGAATCAATCTAATAAGTGAAGTAAAGGATCTATACATTGAAAATTACAGTACTCTGGAAAAGAAGATTGAAGAGGATATCAGAAAATTTAAATATACCCCTTGCTCATTAACAGTGAAAATGACTGTACACTTTTATACAGATTTAAAGCAATACCAATTAAAATAGCACTATTATACTTCATAGAACTAGAGAAAACATGCCTAAAATTCATTTGGAACCAGAAGAGAACTAGAATAGCAAAAATAATTCCAGGCAACAAAAGTAAGGGCATCAGAACCCCTGACTTAAAATTATACTACAAAGTTACTATGATAAAAAAAAAAAGCAGCACAATAATGGCAAAATAAAATAAACAACAGACCTAAGGATCAGTGGAACAGATTAAAAGATGCAGACACAACTCCAAACATATTCAGCCACCTTACCTTGGACAAAAGAGCCAAACTTGAAGAAAGATAGCCTCTTTAATAAATACTGCTGGAAGAACTGGCTCACCACATGCTAAAGTAGACCCATGTCTATCACCATGCACCAAACTAAAGTCAAAATGGATCAAAGATCTAAATATTAAAACATCTTTTCTTTGTGCATTACCATCTCTTCAAGCATGGCAGATGTTATTGAAATTAAATATTAACTGACACTCCAAATAAAATAAAACAGAAACAATATGCTGGAAGAAAGAATAGTGCTCTTGAAGACATTGGTGTAAGCATAGATTTCATGAACAAACCCTGATTGCATGGGAACTACTACAAAGAATCAACAACTGGAACCTCATCCTTTCAAAAGTTTTTGTACAACAAAAGAAATCAACAGAGTAAAAAGACAAACCATAGAGTAGGAAAATAACAGCCAGTTGTCCCTCAAACAAAAGACTAATATCTACAACATATGAAGAATTTTAAGAGTCAGAATACCCCAAAATTTAAAGACTCAATTAAAAAATGGGCATCTAGGCCCAGTGTGTGAATGAGACTGCCTGGGCCTGCTGGATCCTCATTTGACCCAGAGTGCAGGCCCAGTGTGGAACCCTTCAGCAGAATTCCCTACAAAGAGGATAGAGGTAAGACCCACCCAGCTGATTCAGGAGCAGAACATCTTGCCAGAGTGACACAAAGGGTTCAACTCCAATTGCTGCAGCAGGAAGAAGTGGAGCACAGCAGCCAGACCCCAGCCAGATCCAAGCAACACCCACTTGGAGGAATCTGAACTTC